AAAAAAAAAAAAAAAAAAAAAAGAAGAATGTATAGTGTTGATCTTATCCTTCCAAAGCCTTAAGAACTCTCTTGCTTTCTCATCCTTTCTCTTTGCCATGCACTCAGACTAAGAAACTCTTTCTCAAGTCAGCATCCATGGATGCACATAACATTAAAAAAAAGTCTCTACACTATTTTGAAGATACTACCTCCACTCTCACACATAGTAAATACAGGATTCTATGAACTACTTAGCTTTTTCATCATCTTCAAGGCAAATTCAGCTAGCTTTGGAGTTTAAAAAACTTTATCTGCAATGTAAACTACACTGGCAATTTTGCCTTAAGGCAGGTAGGCATCATATGGTTCATTGTGACTGCCTCCTGGTAAGTTATTTTTCGAAAAAAGCCAGTAAATTCCTATCTCACGTTATATATATTCATAGGATCTCTGTCACCTGTGAGAAAAAAAAAGTACAATGACCCTCCACTATTTCCAAATATCATTCTTCAGATAGCATTTATGGGTAAAAATAACTAATAATTTGAACACCTTGTATCTTTGGCATACTTTAACATAAACTTGAATGGATGTCACAGTTACATAGATACTACCATATAAAATGCACCTTACAAAGTTTTGCAATGATTTCTGAATATGGATAACAATTGAATGAACAGAGTAATTGGTAACTAATGATAATACACTGGTGTTCAATGGTCTTTCCATATAACAAGGCAGTTCTCCACAGGTAAAAGGAAAGAGGGTGAAAGCGAGATTTGATATAAATCCTTCAAGAGTCTTCTCTTACTGCTTATTTCTGGAATAAGTAACTACATTCCTCTAATTAAAAAGAATTTATTTTTTTTTTCCCAACTAAGTTTTCAAAACTTTAATGGGTTTCTCTTTTCTGAAAATCTGTCAGGTTCCTGTTAGCAAGACAGTTAAATAATTTCACCAGAGGATGGCAGCCTATTGTTACCAATAGAAAGTAATTTTAAAGAATAAGAGGACTGTTCATGCGCAGTAACAGCCCAGTAAACTGCACAAAAACTGATTAAGCAGAGTAGCCTAATTGAGTACTAAAGTACTATGAGTACTTCTAAAGAGTGAGTTTTGTCCTGCTCTGTGCCATAACTTACCGAAGAATGAAGTAGCCTCCTCTCTTTGAGTCTTCCTGTTTCCCCAATATCAGCCTACTTAGAGCAGTACTTTAAAATACAGCAATACAAGAAATAACATAGAAGTTACACAACATTGACAGACAAATAACAAACTTAAGACATTGAAGGTGTAAAGAATACAAAATACTAATACATAATACAGCTATTGCAACTGCATACCATGTAAATTAAAATGTATATTCAAACAAAACAGGATTTTTTTCATATCCATATTGAAATGCCAAAAAACCCCAACATTTTGAAGTGTCAAACCACTTCAGTTTGAGATATGTTTTTTCTGCAAGAAAGACATCTAATGAAGAATACTTTTCTAAAGATGCCTATGCCATAGAACTCTCAATCTCTTGTCACAAAATCCCAGTACACCAAGGGTCAATACTGGCTCAAATTCTGTCCAAGATCTTCACTAATGATGCAGGATTACCCTCAGCAAGATCACTGATGAAACAAACGTGGAAGGAGCAGCTGATATGCCAGAGGTTGTGCTGTCATCAAGAGACCTGCACATGCTAGAGAAACCGAGCAAGAGGAACATCCTACAGTTCAAAAAAAGGAAGAGTGAAGTCCTGTAACTGGGGAGGAATAACCCCATGCATTGGTAAAGGCTGTACTATCTAGAAAGCAGCTTTGCAAAAAGGACCTCGGGGGCCTGGTGGACAAGCTGAACATTGCCCTTACAGCAAGAAGACTAACAGTATCTTGGGCTGCTTTACATGGGCAAGGCCATTCTCTTCATTCCCAGTGTTGCTATCACAAAGTTATTCCATGAGCAAGGAAGTTACAGAGACCTGGATTCCTATGAATTTGAGTCTTACAATCCCTCAAGTTTTCCAGCTTATCTACCTCATACCACCACCTCAAGATATTCTCCTACAGCTGCATTCCACACCTATCACCTGTTTGGCTGCAAAGTGTCAGACCTAAGAGTATACCACGGGGTTAGTCAACATCCCTGCTTCGTCTAGCTATCTGGCTGCTTACTCTAAAAAGGACAATTTTTAACTGTCTTTTCCTCAGCTGAAGTACCTCTTTGGAGCGCTTTCCTCTGCCTAGCTGCTGTTTTTCACAAGTTTGAAACAAGTACATATTTTTCTCTAATCTGTGTCTAATTTTGTTGTAATTGGTAATAAGGATCGAAAGATTCTGAATAAGTGACAAAGTCAAAGGCTTCTTTCCTTAGGAAATCAGGTAGTGAAACTTTGGATATTCTAAACATAAAGGAAACCTCCAAAGAACTTCAAAATCAGTAAGTAACCTGTCAGGGATTCCTGCACTAGCATTTCAGCATTTC